TGAGTAGGGAAAAGAACCTCGTTTTGAGTATTTCCGCAGCGAACTGTTCCAACTGTGAATGTGTTCGCGAAGCATAAAATATTTTTGTACATGATGGCTGCTGGATATTTTCGGATGATAGCACCTCATTATCACTTGAATAATTCTCATCTGGGGCAATATCCTCAAATTTTGTTTAAATCAAAATCTTTTAATCCATCACTCCATTCAATATTTAACTAGAATGTAATAGGAAATCATAACATTGATATCTGTGTTCAGTTAATGGGTCATTTCTTTCGTTTATTATAGGATTCAAGACAGTGATCATCAGAGCGATAATGCTACGGATTAATAAGATAACGTATCCTCGAATGAGAGATATTCTAATGTGATGATGTATTGCTTCATTACAACAACTTATTTATGGTTTCAGCTTATCGGAAAAACCCCATAGATCTTTTCCAGTGAGATGCTGCGAATCTTTTAACTCAAATGATTTCACTTTAATATAGAAAAGCACTAAAATCATCGAAATCCAAAAANATCACCATCAATCTTATTTTCCGTAGCATTTCTTCGTTTCCGATCGCTCTTTTCCGTCCGAGCTTTCTTCAGTCGTTCATCAATTTTTTTCAACTCTTCTAATTTTTCCTCCACCCCACTCAATTCTCGTTTCGCATCAAATTTCTTCTTATAAGCTGCTACCCAATCGTCGCCATCATCTGAGTGAATCATTCATTTTAGCGAAACTTATTTTGCGATCATTGTATGCAATTCTACTTAATGCTTGTAATGGTCCCGCAAATCGCTTGCAGTATCGAAACATTCGAAACGCTGCGAATGTATTACATTTCAAATGAAACAGTCTAGTGGGATTTTTTTTTTGATTTAACGATATGAATTTCTCAGCTTTAAAAATTTTGAACTCTTAGTGAACCAGGATATACAAAGATACATAAATAAATCACCATTTTCTTTCGCTTTTTCATCAGCATCTTTGATTTGTTTTTCCAGTTCGCTACGTTGTTTCAACTCGAAATTCTCCAGCCAATTCAACGATGAACATATCACACTCAGTGACTTCCCAGTGCCCGTTGGTGATTCAAAAATACCAATTTTGGAATCATTTAAACATTTCCGAATTTCTCTCATCAACGCCAACTGAATGGCATACGGTTGGTATGGAAACGAGAATTCATCCATTCATAAAGCTGAAACAAACTCAATCGACTATCAAGTTATTAACGGGTGGCTTTTGACACTGAGGAGGCATTTGGAATCGCTCGCTTCATAAAATTTTAAATCACATGCAGTTCCGGGTCACGCACTATTTAAAATGGAAAAGCGATTCAGAATGGAATTTCTAGAATGTCGATTAACTTGACTTCACGTAGTTCTGGAT